CACAAGCCATTCAGCTTCGATAATCAAAAAAACAGACATACTTGATATATCCAAAATGCACAGACTGATGACTAGCACATTTTTCACGATTCAATGAAACACAATTCACCTTACTGTATTTCAGATTACATTAAACAAGTGAGTCATTCATATCACACTAGACAGCACACCAATCATAATCTTTACTTGGAATAGAACCACATATAACATCCGGTCGTTTATCACTTTTTTGTATTCAGGTGCTAAAATACAGAATACCATTCCCACTAAGAATTGTTCCATAAGCTAGCCAAGTGGATTCAAATTAGCAATTCAACATAAACGTTTAGTACTTTAGATATGTTTGAATTAATTTGTATTAATTTGAGCAACTCAAAATCTTTACAGTATAACATACATATGTATCAAAGTTCAATTCAATTGTACTAGGGGGACCGGACTAGACTAGTTGCTATTGTTCGATTACCTATTTACCTCATCTTCATTTAGCATTATAAATGATGTATTTATCACGTATGATTATGGTGACAGTGAGTAAATTATTATTATTAGTTCCTGACCATTGGTTTGGTCGAGCATTGTAAATATCCCGCTCAGCAACTGACAACTTTGAGTGGGTAGGGTCAAACTACTCAGGGACTCGAGGTCACTTGACTGACTTACACTGCTATTATCATTCTATTTATTGTAGTAATAAATAAAAAAATAACTAATTATTGATTTAATTCCAGCGTTGTGTAAAATAAAATCGCAACTTCCACAATATTCAGTCGCAGATTTTAAAATATATATAGATCAACGCTAGCTATAATAGGTACTACTCGGTGACGTGGATAACATAATTAATTATTAACTTGGTTACCTTAACTGTTTTACGTCAGTCACTATTCTAGATTTGTCACAAACACCGCCTCGCTTATGCCCTGTGTGATATATATAGAAGACACACGTCCGCCGATTATTACTCATTGAATTAAGCCTGGTGTTTCAACAATGCGAAAATCGAAGAGACTACGATCTGGGATCTGGACATTATCTGTATTGCTGTTGTTGGTGTTTGTCAATGCTATGATATTATTTAGGAGTGCGAATGAAGGAGACTCGAGTCAAGTACTAGAAAATATTGTCGCTAAGGTAGGTGGCCCAGAACAGCAGACGCTTATAGTCTCACCGCGACGGAGCTCGTCAATACACCGTACGCACAGACATGGTCTACGAAGTTGGATTGATGTGAATATGAATCATAGCAACACCGAGCATGTTACACCCTTGAAGGCTCCACGAACAACTTACGTCGAATTCTATATAACGCAGTCAGAGAAATGCCGAAGCCGGAATTTTGTGACAGGCGTGGTTCTAATAACAAGTGCGTCAGAGAACTGTCAAAACAGGGACGCTATTCGAGAAACTTGGATGAAAGCTTTAATGAAAGACAACGATGCAATAGTTGTATTGTTTTTGGTAAGTGTAACAAAACAGGAGGAACAGTTACATACACTTGACATTGAGTGCAGTAAATATCAGGATATGATTGTCATCGTCAGGGAAGTTCACGAAAGTTCAAACGTAGGAAGCGTGCTGTACTGGACTTCCATGTACTGCCCAGAGTCTAGATACATGCTTAAAGTGGACGACAGCACAATGATTATACCAACAAATTTATTACGCACACTTGGACGCTCTCCAGGTAACAACTTGGCGGCTGGAAAACTAGTAGTTGATAGTAAGCCGATCAGAGATCAGCGTTATTCAAGCTACGTGCCTAAAAGTTCGTGGTCGGGTGAAATATACCCTCCCTACTTACAAAGTCCGTCGTATTTGTTGTCCAGGGACATTGTGTCCAAATTATTAACAGCATATACAGAAGCACCTGATTTCCCAGTAGAGGACGTTTTATTGGGCATACATTTAAACAGATTAAGAATTACACCCGTGGATTACGCTGACATGGATATACACGGATTAAAGCGGCAATATTGCCATTTGATAACTACGTCACTTTCAGGTAATTATTTGCCAGGTGACCTTTTATTTACCTGGAACCGTATAATGACCGCTAAGGATCTCCCCTGTGTAAATACGACAAATGAAGAACGTGCATTGCTTGATGGAATGTTGATCACCGATCCACATTCCAACGTTTGCTTTAACAGCGATGATGTCAACGAACAGACGGGCGAGGTATTCCTCCTAATACTGGTCAATACACTCGACGACGACGGTAAATGGAGGCGTCAAACTATACGAGACACATACGGTAAAGTGAAACGCGTCGACGATAAAACTGTCGTAACTTTGTTTGTCTCTCAAAGCGATAGTGCGCAGCGTATGTATGACAGTGGTATTATAAACTCGGAAGATGAGCTGGTAGTTCTGGGAAAATATGACGGCAGCAAAGTACGCAGAACTGTCGGTTTGTTATGGTCGAAGTATTATTGCCCAACAGCGAGTTACGTTATGGTAGTGGACGATGACGTTATTGTTAACGTCAGAAATACGGTTAGATATCTGTCGTCAGTAACGTCAAATTCCTTTGCAATGATTGGTTCTGATATGAAAAATGAAAAAAGTAGATTCAATGGCACATTCATATTGTCTGGGCAGCTGATTAATAAATTTGTGTTTCCCGCAGTAAACATAAGTTCCTACTGCGGCAACACGGCTTTCATTGAAAAAGCTATTCGATCTACCAACGTAAGGACGGTTATCCACGATGATATTGACAATGGCGGTAGAGTACGACACCTTTGTGATCTTGATAAATTGATAGCGTCAAGTGGTTTCTATGACAACATGGCTCAATACCTATCCGGTCTCCGGCTGTGGTTGGATTACCTGGAGTGTGGAAACAGTTTTAATAATTTAACTAACCGTAATTTTGAATATCTTTTACAACACGAGGATATGTGCAAGCGTTTCGGTGAAAACACGCGATCACTGACAGTCCTCATTGGCATTTTGTCGTCACCGGGACACTTTATTCAACGACTGGCTATAAGGCAGACCTGGGGAAAAATTTCGTCAAGGAACGATAATACGTTTATAAAGAGGGTTTTCTTACTGGGTAGAAGTAACTCAGAGTCAATACAGAACAAAATCATTAGCGAAAACTCAAAATATCGTGATATTATCCAACAAGATTTCGTTGAACACTATCGGAATTTAACGTATAAAACAATAATGCTATTAGAATGGGCGTCTAACTACTGTAGTTCAGCAGACTACGTCATTAAAATAGACGACGATGTTTTTCTCAACACCGACAATATGATCCGATTTCTAGCGTTGTCGCCACGAAAGCTGTTTTACTTTGGTGATACGCGAATTGACACACAACCAATACGGGACCACCACAGTAAATGGTTCACCCCCGAAGAAGCGTGGCCAGCCGAGCTGTACCCCCCGTATAATAATGGTCCGGCTTACGTGATGTCCATTGATGTTGTTAATGCAGTGTACCGGGAATCCAAACATTACCGTGTTTTCCCCTGGGAAGACGTCTACATCGGCAACATCACTAACGATTTAGGCGTTGGCAGTTTCCCACACCATGGTTTTGATAATAGTAATAACGTTTTTCGTGATGCATGTTCTTTGTCTGTTGGGCTCACTTCTCATAGTTTTACACCAACAATGCTTTACAAGTTTTGGAGTGAAATGAAATCATGTGAAAAATCTCCTCAAACTTGTTGCTACAGGCAACCAGAATTTATGAGGAGAGCGCCATCTTTGTCACAGAGTAGATACGCTGTTCAACATTTTGATCCGTTGAAACATTTGCCTCAACTGTGTAACCACAGTAACGACGAACATAACATTCACCTGCTTATACTCGTGGCTTCGTCATGTCAAAAATATGACATGCGCAGGTATGCTCGGTTGACGTGGGCAAACGTCGATTCTATAAAAGGCCGCAGAGTGGCGACTTTTTTCGTCGTTGGAAGTCCTTGTTCATCTTCTTCCATGGAAACATTCATTAAAAACGAAATATTTATGCATCGTGACATTATACAAGTGAATGTCAAAGATAAAACATCTAAACAATATCTGAATTTTAAAATGTTATTATCGCTTCAAATGATGTCTCACTTCTGCGCATGTGCAAGTCACGTGATGATCGTCAATGACGACGTTTTCGTGAACGTTCCCGATCTGTTAACATTTCTCGCAAAACACGGGGATAACGACTTAAATTTAAAAGGTGGACGGTTTTGTTACGATGAAAACTGTACTTGTTCCCGTGGAAATCGTGACGTAAACTATTTACGGAGATTGAAATCATCGATTAGCGACGAAGAAGACGACGAAACACTTGAGAGTGGCCAGAAAGGGACGATACAGATTTCTAAGGTGGATTCGACGATAATATTACTTAGTAATAAAACAGTGGCTTCGGTTAGTGAAAATTTGCGAAAATATTCCGGAAAAATTACGAATATCCAAATTGAGAGAATCGTGGAGAAAATTGGAAAAACAATCGACGTACATACAGGTTTTGACGTCAAGGGGAACACGGCGGCAGTTGAAGCTAGAGGTGGCAGCTCCTGCTGGCTGCATAGAACATTGGCGTCGGCGTCATTTCAATATGCTCCTAATATGGGCATGGTTGCAAGAAACATGCACAATGGTGAACACTTTCGCTGTGACAGGAACGAATACAACCCGGATAATGTAACTGCTTACGACTGTGATCGACAAATTTACGTACGAAGTGATGGAAAGACGACGACACTTCATCTGAGACAAAACAAACATTCTGAATCCAAAAATCCACGCGCGTCATTTTTCATCAATCACCCTGAAGTGTGCCAGTTTAGTAACGGTAAACGGAAAGACGTGTTTCTGTTGATCATGGTTACCACATTATCCTACGAAGAAGAATATAGAACAGCAACAAGAGTCACGTGGGCGAGCACTTCCAAGAAAAGTAACAACAATGTTGAAGTACTGTTCTTTCTCGGCGTTCCCGCGAACACAGCTGATCAGATTGCGATTTTACGTGAAGACAGTCTAAATGGTGACATAATTCAGGGTAACTTCATAGATAATTTCCATAATCAAACAACAAAAACACTAGCACTAATAGAGTGGGTCAGTACATTCTGCGCTGGGGCCAGATATGTCTTAAAGACACGTTCAGATATGTTTGTTAATGTTCGAAAACTTGTCGAATATTTGTCACTGCCATATCGAAACCTTCAAAACGGACTAGCATTGGGGCGACTGCTTGTTCACATGACGCCAGTACGCAATGAAAAACACCTGTTCTACACATCGTACGACACGTATCCTAATACAACCTTTCCCCCTTACCTCGGTGCAACTAGTTACATAATGAGCCGCGATGTTGTACAAAAAGTTGACCAAATGTCTAGAAAATCTGCGATGTTTCCATGGGAAGACGTCTTCATGGGTATGATGTTGACAAAAACCGGGATCACTATGCGAGATCACTCGTACTTCGCAGGCGGCTCTATCTTGGATGATCTATCAACATGCGAGACACAGCTTTACTTCTCCTGGAGAATGAAAACTCCTTTTAGTATCTACGCATATCATCTTCAGATCATGAACGCCGATTTGGACGATTGTCCTTCCGAGCAACGTATCACGGAACAGGATTTAACATTTATTCAACTCCCCGATAAAAAAGTTGTCAATTGTGATAATGACGTCATTTTTCTGGTAATCTCGGAGGGTTCAAGTTTTTCACGGAGAAGGGCAATTCGCGAGACTTGGGGCCAGTATTATGAGAAAGTCGAATCTAGGAATATGGCAACTGTTTTTCTTCTGGGGAAGAAGAATTCTCGTGATGTTGAAATGGAAGTCAAAGCAGAGTCCCGAGATTTTGGTGACATTTTACAGGGCGACTTTATAGAAACATACAGAAACCTGGTGTTGAAAACTATTATGGGATTGAAATGGATTAATGAATATTGTCTGGGTGTGAATTACGTCGTGAAAATTGATGATGACGTTTACGCAAATGTTAAACTTTTGATGACATCACTGGAACAAATAGACAGAGTTAACATTTATCGTGGGTTCACTTATAGGGGTATGATGCCTCTGAGGGACTCTTCAAATAAAAATTCAGTTTCAAAGGAAGTGTGGCCGGATAGGCCTTTCCCTCCGTACAACGCCGGTCCTATGTATGTATTATCGAAGGACGTCGCAAATCGCGTCTACAAAGCTGCGTTTGACGCGCCATTGCTGGCGAACGAGGATGTGTTTATTGGAACGGTGATACAAAACATTGGTTTGTTACCACAGTCAGAAACTAGAATTGACATTAGTGGAGACCAACACAGTGCCTGCCAACTTAACGGGCTTGTCGCGCGCCATCATGCGTCCTCAGATGAAATGTACAGGTTTTGGTACCAACAAAATAAAAACATTCTTTGTGACTCGCACCAAAAATTTACAAAGTTTGAAACCTTCAAACCTAAATCTTACGTAGACACAACTATTGTACGTTATGTAGATGACAGTCACGTGGCACAAAACTGTAGCCCAGAAACTATAATTCTGATTATAACTCGCAGCGCACCGAACAATTTCCGCGTAAGGACATTGATCCGTAAAGTAGTAGCGCAGACGACAGTTCTTCGGGCAATCAGGGTTATTTTCTTTGTCACAAAAAGTGCCAGTGTTTCTGCGCAGGTGAACGATGACGTCACACAGGAAAGCAGCCAACACGGAGATATTGTGTTTGTAGACCTTGTAGACAACATAGAACATTCTACTCAAATTTTAGTATCTGAACTTCAGTGGAGTTCCGCGTTTTGTAAAAACATGCAGTATGTGTTATACAGTGACGATTCCATTTTCGTTAACTACCTCGCCATTTTTGAATATTTGCGTGCGAGTAACAGAAGCAATTTAGCATCCGGGTATGTACAAAGTAACATTGTCCCCGATAGAGAGCCTTCTAGTGATGTCTATACTCCGGTAGATTTGTATCCTGACAATGCGTTTCCAGTATTTATTCAAGGCCCACCATATTTATTCTCCTTTGATGTTGTGAAAAAACTCTCACATACAACAAAATCGACGCCAATATTTATTTGGCCACAAGTATATGTTGGACAATTGTTGGAACAGTTGGGTATTGAACCAGAACACAATCCTGGCTTTGATGTAACGGGACAAATAAGGACGACACACAAATGCAGCCTTAGTTCACTGTTAACGTCAAACTTTTTTACCACGAGGCAGTTAGAGATTGCGTGGAAAGGTATAGCACAATGTAAACAACTTTAAGACAATGATGTCTGCTTATATCATCCAGCCAGCAAAATGTTTTAATTATATTCTAAATTACAGTGAAAGGCAGAAAGCTGTCGTCATTATACACGTTTCGTCAAACAAAAATAGATACTGCAAAATGACTAATTTTCACTGGGTTTAAATTTCACTGATTTACCATTTTGGGCATATTCAGTGGGTTTTAAATTCACGGTTTCGTCATTTAGATAATGTGTTCTATGCTAAATTTTACATATTCACTGGGTTTTAATTTAGCGCATTTTTCCAGTCAGCGAAATAAGCTAAATTAAAACCCAGTGAATAATTACCCCCTTTACAGTATTGGAATTGAAAAAATCACCATTCCAGAAATGCTAGTGTGATACCATTGTTAGTCCTAATTAATAGTTCAAAAGTATCACATCAGCTAGCGTCTCATTTTAAAAATCTGGGCGGTCGCAGTTACTATGTCGCATGAAGGCTGTGTGCGCTTTATGGACGTTGACATATTTTGCTCTCGGGTCAATAACTATAATTAAATCTCTGCGTTTCAAGAATAAAAGTTGATGACAGGTATGATTTGTATAAATACGTGTATATGTCAAGCACGAGCTTTGTGCCACTCACTGTATATAACGAAATTTTTTACACTCATTCTCGCTTTTACTGATTTAGTTGTACTTCGCTAAACTTTGAACTTTGCTTCGTTCCATTATTACATCAAAATGGCAAGTAAGACGTGTTTTAATACACTTATTTGTCACGTTTTTATCAGTAATCCAGTTGCCATATGACGTCATCTGGCAGATAACCAATAATCTATGCAATGCTTCACTCACTATAATTCAACGCCTAGAAACGATGCTAGTAATATCCCATTCAGATCAATGCAAATATAACATACACTGATACGGGATATCATTGGTCTGAGGGAATTAAAATGTTTTTATTGGCGAGTTTGAAAACGGTACACAGGGAATTCAGCATACCCATGGGATGTCTGAATGAATTGCTCATATTGACATTTTAAAACAACTAATCAATTAATTATTACATACATCGAAGCTTGGCGTTAGTGGCATGAAGCTACCCGGCCGAACATAAGATATAGGTCCGTTTGACCTATTGCTCAGAACACTCCGTTGTGCTAATAATATTTTACCGATGAATTTTTACTTAAAGGGGAAATGTATGTATTTATTGAGTTTTTTTTATATAAAATTATCATTTCCATATTTTCACCATTGACTGCCATAGTTCAAAGTCCTATATCACTTGCACGTTGTTTGTCAGACACTTAATGTTATGTTTGCTATTATTTTATCTATACGCCTTTTGTATTGTTATATATGTTTTGCATAACTACGTTGGTTAAATATGTGATGCCATTGGTGTTGTCAAGGTTACACTCTGAGATCATTCCGAATGCTTCATTGGGATCTTTGAACTATGATGTGAAATTGTTGTTTGTTTAACTTGTACGAAATTTGCACTGAACGTTCACAATTCAATGATGTATTGAATTCGACTGATTGCAATCGTTGCATTTTTCTAATTCGAATGCACGTTCGAATTTTATTGGCTTACCGGTTTTGACTAATATCCCAATGTTTGCGGAATCTCAAAGATTAGCTTCTGTTCTCATTTACTGTCCTCGGTGAACAAGAACGAAACATCATTTTTCCCTACATGTCACATAATAATCAAAACACCTAACTGAAATTCGAGGACTGATCTCAGAGTGCGCCTTTATTGATAGAGCGCCCTTTTTTTTCATTTACCCCACGCAATTATCCATTAGCATTTTTCTATTTTTCTAATTTTTCTAATATTCCAAAAAATATAGCTTACCTTGACATTTTTACTTTATATTTTTGATTTTGTTCATTTTCTCACAATTCACTCATATTTATACCATATTACATGTCGCCAAATCTGAATTAAATAGCACAACTGTGTTTCACTCTTTGAAGGTATTCCTTTCAAAATTATGGTCAACATTTTGCTATTTTTGCTCATTTCTACTATGAATTTGTTTACTATTTCAAATCAAATGGCTAAATTTCGTATTGGCTACAAATTTTCATCAATATTTCGTTGACATTGACATTCAATGGGTTAAGTTTTGCTCAACCACAATACTTTTACTTTTGAAGTTATCGTTCAAAGATATATATATATATTATTAGAACGTGACTATCTATGAATTGGCGATTTTTTACGACGTAAAATCATGTGACCAGCAAATCTTTTATTGACTACTTTTTGCCATCAGAGTATCCTTTGTAGAAAAAACACAATGTCAGACAATGTCAAATATTTGAAGATAATTGCTACTTTTTTATGATGTTCAGATAAAAGATCTGAGATAAACGCTACTGTTTAAGAAGGCTAAGAAAGCCTATTGATTTCCTAATAAACTGCTGTGACAGTACCTGTGCTATTTTTATTAATGCTAGTTCATTCACATCAGAACAAAATGCATGTTTGCTGTTGTTAGTAACCGGTCTTATTACGCCATGCCTCGTTAAATTCTTACCATGCACATTATAAGATGAGTAATTTATCTTAAAGTTCACTACTTCCGCTGTACTGTCTTCGTGCATACTTTGCAGTATCCTCGTAATAACCTCATATTATCTTACATGCAAGTGTGTTATCCACTGTTTTCTGTTGTTATATGAGTGAAGGTATCAAGCATTACTGCCGTGTTCCAAATGAATTTATTAGTTACGTGATTGGTGTTATTTCATATTTTGACTCCGTGGCTGGAACCACTTTGCGATTGTCGATACACAACAACATAATTCATTTATATTAAAAAAATGATCCCCAATTATGTGCAAGTATTTCGGAAGTTGTTCCATACAAACTATGTACTTCCATGTAATGTATGTGAGTGTGTCGGTGTCGCCTAGCTCACGATAGCAATGGGGGACGAGGAAATTCACTGTGTTATGATTACGCTGGAAAAAGCAGCAACAGATGATGGGATTTAGCCAACGAATACGTCCCAGCTACGGGCATTCTCTCTCAATTACGAGCAGCAATGTGCCTCTCAAGACTTTCAGTGTCGACTGCATGTCACTGGCAATACCGTTAGCGTTATGCATTTATCCATTTAAATTCCATCTATTCCAAAGCGGTACCACATGATATTAAATCACTGTTCTCTGGATCGACAAGTAACGGGCGGAACATTTCACGATGTTAGTATCTTCGTAGTATTTATGACATCGATTTTGATTGAACACCAACTGATTGCGTTTCTGTTTGGTGGCCTAATTTTGAAATAGATTGTTTATATTCACAAATAACTGTAATAACACCAAATTTATACATACAAATCCGCTGTACAGCAGAAAACGCAATGTGACTCATTAAAAACGTATCACTGACTTTGGGTCATGTCTCCTATGGCTTTAGATACAATAGTGCCACAATAATTAATATTTGACAATTGAACTACTAATTCAATTATGCATGAACAACATTTAATATCTTGATTGCCACATATAAATTTGAAATACTATTAAATTCCGAGACGTATTTACAATGTCAAAAACGGCCTTGTCACGAGTGCGTTACTTATCAATCATCGCATCAAAAGATTCATGCCGAGTGTCAGATCATTTGAGGTCGGTCGTCTGAATAGACCATTTTCCGTACACTGCGAGAATCACGCGTTATGCGTGAAATCGAACGTAAAAACAGGACAAACAAAGGTCATAGCGTCGTAGTCGCGTCAAACATCGCGTGGGATTCGACAAACGCGAAAGTATTTCGGGGACATTTCCATGCTTAATAATGTTCACATTTGATGATAGGCAATTTTGATGAAGTAAGGGTATTCGGAAGCAATATTCCTCTGTCGAAGATGGGCCGGCCAATGTAAGCTGAGAAATAAAGAAATTCTAGTTCAAAATCAAATCGTTCGACTTTTGCGGCAGACGTTCGACGCGCGTCTTTCATGCATCTCGCGAGATCTCGCAATTGTTCGGAAAATCACCTATTAAAGCATTATTTTAGTTTTAACGCTTTATACAAACTGGTGCTTGTATGGTAAAGAGGTTATTTATCAACGACATAAAAATACGACGTGTGAGAATATCGAACATAAAAACGAGTGATAATTTCTTACAACAAATCTTAAAGGCCCCTGTAGTTATAGGCCAGCGCACTGTGACGTTATACGTTTACTGTCTGATTAGAAATATCGCTTACCGATCTGCTATGATGACATGCCTCAAGTGAATACGCCCTCTATTATGTGGCTTGAGTGTTTTTTATTATACAGTTATTGGCATTGTCGTAGCACGATATTCAGCTTTCGGGCAATAATAGACACTTGAAACAGTGGCGGATCTAGGGGGGTCTTGGGTCCGGGACCCCTCCCCCGTTGAACAATTTATTCTATAATAAAAAAATCATTAACTTAGTCTGGCGATTTTAAAGTTTGGACCCCCCCCCCCATAACAAATCCTGTATCCGCCCCTGCACAGTCGCGGATCTAGGGGGGTTCTTGGGGCCCGGACCCACCCCCACCCCCCGTTGAAAAATTAGTTCAATTTGTTTTTGTATAATATAAAAAATCATTTGCGTTTATATTTCATTTTAAAGTTTGGATCCCCACCCCCATAAAAAAAACGTATCCGCCCATGTAGGGGGTTCGGGGCATGCTCCCCTTACATGTAAAAATTTAGAAATCTAGACTCTCTGATATGCTCTATGATATCCTGCATTTTGAAGGGCAAATTATGATGACACAAGGGGTTTCAAGTTGATGTTGGAGGGGCGACGCCCTCTAAACATTTTTTCGAGGGGTCGACCCCCGCCTCCCTGTGCGCTGTCAGTGATACCAACTAGCTACAGTCGGAGAGATTGAATTTTTCCTGTCTCAAGTAAATTGAAGAAATATTTCGCGGCGAGAGGAGAAATTATTTTTTTAATTGAAAATTACTCCACTGTTTAAAAAAAAAAATCGTCCTGACTAGAGCGAGTCTACACATACCCGTATAGCTTTTCTATGAACCCCTATTCCCACCCAGTATTCCGATAAACGCAAACTTTTACCTTTGGCACCAATTTCAGCCACCCGCCAAAAGTTAACCCTATTTGTTTGTACACAAAGTGACGTCAGCTTTCCATTGTCCTTCCATTCACTCTGCAGCGGCACGACTTTTGGTGCGGTTTGGACGAATCTATTATTGTAACGGGTTAGATGCCGATATTGGTATTGGCAAACGTATAGACCCGTTCGCCCAGATCTTATTAATATATTATTACGTATAATAAATATTACTTAATCTATCCATTGATTGTGGTATCGTATCTTATGTTTTATAATTTCTTATAAGTTGCAACACAGTATATTTGTTCACACCACTAAAAAATGGTGACTTCTCATTTAAATTAATAATGAGTAAATGGTAAAGGTCACAGAACGACGCGCCTCAAGAGAAAGTATCCTCGTTCGTTGGAAGTGACACTGTGTTGCTTATCTTACACGATCGTTTCCTGGATGACAGAAAAAAGACAGAAAGAAATTCAAATACTATTTAGGTATGTAATATATGAATTACTGATGACAACAATATTATTAATCTGTTTATATTTCCGTACTGTTCACCATGATAGAACTGTCTACAAGACTGTGTTGACGTTTTGTAAAATTGCCTTTCAACGTTCTGCCTCATGGGCCTCTACTATTAAGCAAGTTCGTAAACTGTAAAAATATTTATAGATCAATGTACTTGGACCAAAACTGGTGATCGAAACTGATATATAGCACTGTTTTTCCCCCAGACTTCCCGTATCGTATGCGGCAACGTATCTGCGAGTGAGTGGCGAATGAAATGGTAGCACGACAGAGGGGCCACGTGTTAATGTTTGTAGTACTAGTTTGTTGACCACGTTTACGTACTTTCTGATATCATCACAGACATTGGTGTGTATGCGGCACTATTGGAAGTGGGAACAAGTATTTACACCTCAATTCGCAGGAAAATTGGATAATTAAAGAAAATCCCTCAGAAAACTGAAAATATCCTCTGTAAAACCGAGAATGTCGACCATGTCTGGCAGGTTATTGTCTGTGTGTACATCGATAGGTAAGTCAGGTCTCTACTAATAAACATTGGACTGAATTTTAAAATTCATCATGCAACTTGAGCTTTAAATTGGCATTCCTCTCCATACTGACATGCTTTTACAGTGTACCATTTAATTGCGATACTTTATTGCAAACATTACAGTTATGTTTATACACTAGTCAAATAAAATGGCGTCGTGAAGCGAAATGTCACTTTGGGTCATGAGAATGACCTTAAGTGACTTGCAACGTATTGGTTAAATAATACGACGTGTATATGATGAATACTGTGCGGTGATCGGCGTTTTGGAAAATATCACTGCTATTGCCAAACATGTGTCACGATTTAAATTTCCTTTACACATATAAGGTATACAGCAAATAGCTATGACTTCTGATCATTTCTGGACACATGCCAATTATTTGTTGCCAAGGCACATGAATGTTTTTGTGCCCATAGAGTTGTTAGTTTATTACATTAAACTAAGAAAACTAAATAAATTCTGTCAACTCATACAAGTTGCACGGTATTTCATAACATGAATTTGTTTTATATAAGAAAATTTAATATGTAGTAGGCAATTCCTAAATAGCCCTATATATAGCGCTGTTTTGATCAGGTGAATTACGGTAATTGACAATGCCCCCTACGCAGTGATAGTAGTTTTGTATTTGATTGGCACAAATAGCGACCATGCATTGGAACATAACTGTTTTTGGACACATTCAAGATGATCAGTCTGAAATATCTGGTTTGATTATTATAATATATATTTATTGATCCAACAATATCATTTGATTACAGTTTTAGTTGCATAATTTGTAAATCAACAAACAAAACAATGCACAGCCTACCCAGAGTTCTTTGTGATTTGTACCAATGAATATACCAAAATTCACCACATGGTGGCTTAATAATGAATTGTTAACTTCTGGGATCGAGTTTATTTATAGGTCTATATAATATATAATATTATATATATATATATATAATATTTATAGGTCTACCTCATATAAACATGTCTATTTTATGTTTTCAACATTTTTTACCCGAACGTTTTAGCCAGTTTTATTAAGTATTGTGGACTTTGTTTGGGTTGAAAAATGGTATTTTTGATGGTTTTTGGTCTACTACTGCCTCACTTATTTTTTTTAAATACGGTGAAAGCGGCTTCTTTAGCTCGGCAACATGGCTTCCCCAAGAGGTACGTTTACGGTTTAGAAATTCATTTTATTTTTATGTTGTACACCAAAAAAAAAACATTTTTTCGAGAATAACTGGTACTATCCTGGGATTTTGGTGCTTTTATCATTTGGTGTTAAAATCTGTAAAAATAAAAAGTGTAGTTTTGTAGGTGTTAGGTAGGTTCTCTGGTCAGCAAGTTGACAAAAGACACTAGTCCCCAAATTAATTTAGAAACGTAGCACAGGGCGACCGATGTGATATTTGGATAACTAAACTAATGCAATGAAGCGTCACACACCACAATGATTGGTCAAGAACTAGACTAATATGATATATGTCAAAGGTCACTAGCATTTATTCAACCTTGCATGCAAATGGCGAAAATGGATTCCTGTACAGGGTGATACTATGAGGCAACCTCAACATACACTTTAGTTTGCAATAATGCACAATAATAATTAACAACAGTCAGCAGTAAACAAGAGTTCACTAAGTATCAGAATATACCAATTATTGACAACAAGAGTTCACTACAATGTTCACGATGTCCTAACAGGGCTGTGCTTCGGCGTTGCTAAGGTAATAATGTCACGACGCGTTTTTCAGCAATGTCGACGTTCACGCGCGGTCACACACATAACGGTCACGTACTCATAACAAAGTCAGGCATAGCCTCCGGCCTCTAGATCGACTTCGGCGATTAATACACACACGGGTTGGCGAATATGAACGAGTTGTATTTACTCACGTATTGTATAGCACAATGTTGATGAAGGGTATATTAAGTTAAATAAAGTCTCGACCATGCGTTCGTTGAAATCTTCGTAAGCAGATTCATGGAGCGTAGATTGTTCATTCACTTTTTTACGATAAGAGGTTCACACAGTAATGTCACTCATTGACGATATACACAATATACTAGTATATATACGAGGAATACATGATACTGTCACTTGTTGACAACGTACACAGCGCAAGGCATTCACGGTAACGTCACTCGTTGACGATAGTCGCACTAAAACTAAGGGGTATTCACGGTAATGTTACTCATTGATAATCTTCGTGATTAAGATGTACTCACGGCAATGTCATTCATAGATGATTTCTGGGTGAATGCGAACTTCACATGTTAACAATGCCAGTCCAGCAATACTGCCACTTCCGGGTTTGCAGACAAGTAGTCTCACGGAAAATCGTCCGATCCAATTCGGAGTGATGCCGTCTCACAGTTTAAGTTCAATTCAGCAACTTTCCAGTGATGAAAGTGCTCTTTTTAGTCAGCGACTTTCAGTTTCTCTAACCGTGTCCCCTCGTTAGTGAATTCTCCTCTCCCGCATGGTTTTCTTTTTACCTCTTCTGTCAATCCGCGAGCGCGCGACCCATTATCTCAAATTGACTAATAACGTGAATGAATCACGTGATAATAAGCAGAATAAACAAATTAATCAGAACAAATAATAGGTCATTCATCAATGTGACAAATAAACACTGGGTATGGTACAATACAATCAGAACTATTTTCTAAGCCGCATCACATGCGCTCCTTGATTGCTAAGTGTAGAACTATTTCATAACGCAACAACTAGTACATATATGTACCATAATAACTCTATTAGACTGATCAGTCATAAAACAACTTATCCACTATGTTGTGCTAGCATAGAAATTACACACGGTTACACAGGCCATTTCAAGAACTTTGCAATGATAGGTCATTCGAGTAGATTGCAGAAAAGTAGTATTTGTCGTCTCTGAAGGAATATTGTTCATGATTTTCAAGCCTTATATAGCCTGAGTATTCCACTGGTGAATTAATTATTGTATTATTACTATAAACACATTGCAAATTGTCCTTGTAGCTCTTTTCTGTGTTTGTCAACTGAATTCCACATCGTTAAATTAAATGCGTTCATTGGGATTATTTTTGTTAATAATTGAAGGGAATTGTTTCTGTAGCCAATGGAAGGATTTTTGATTTGAATAAAGTGAGAGGATCTTTTCAGATAAAGGTTTTAAAAATATTTATAAATATCCAGAAGACGAATTTACGCTTTCATTTAATCCAATGTATGGGTGTATTTTTAATCAAAATGTCATGTGGTTTATTGATATAAAAACAGAATAATATAATTGAAGGGCTGTGGCTGTTTCACTGAATGTATTCAAATTTTATTCACAAAAATTGTGTTTTAAATGTGAATGAAACTATGTCCTCATATAAAACAGGATGCTGTATGACAACCATCCCTTTTTAAATTAAACTCTAAATTTGTTTTATTTCCTGGTATTACTGTAAACAGAAATGTATTACGTTCTATCGTATGAATTTGAAGTTTAGAAATGACATGAAACATTTATAAAACAATTACCTTGGAAAACCTTCTTATTTCCTTGTTCTGAACATTGATCCTACCAGGAAGTAAATATACATAATTCAAACTAATTAACATTTGATATTACATTAGATGCAACTTTCATGTGGTCATGTGACTGCTAAGTAAATAAATCAAACAAGAACTGTGAAAAAATTAAAATCTTTAGAATACAATGTACATGAACTTGACAAAAAATGCCATTGCCGTATAACTAGTATGTTCATATATAATGGTCATGAAATCATCTAATGTTTTTGACGTATAGTAAATTATAGATGATCAGTGTTCTCCCCAGGAATTTAAACCACTGTGGCGGTCTAATTTGCATATCATTTGCATATCATTTACATAATAATGGGAATTGACCAAAGCACATTTACACCCACACAATAAACAACATATATTTTTAAAAACAAAGTGGCAGATATTTATTTGCTTCACACAGTGTTATAAACACTTTTATTTTGGGCACTTTTGTAATATTAACGAGCTCCGTCACAGGGAAAATATTTTTTTTTAGAGTCAAAATATTACGTTTCACAATTTAGAAGAGTTTGAATTTAAAAATGAAACATTCTCGAAATGCAAATGCTGCAGACTAAAAAGAAACAAATAAATTATAAAAGGTTAAATGAAACTCATTTGAAACGTTTGAGCCAGGATTATGTTCACCACTTTCATGATCTTATTTACTACAAAATTCTCCTTCAAAAAATCGATCATGTAGTTATTTGGCGGATTGTTGGTTATTATTCCGACCATCAGCTCCTAACGTTTACATTTACAGTAAATGAACGAACAAATAACACTTCCAAACGATCAAAGTTACGACGTGACATAACTTACTTCGCGATGTTTTACACCGGTTATACCAATACCGTACTCGACCGCGTTAGCGCCCAGGGGCCTCAACTCAGAAAATCACGATTTTTTAGGGGTGGGCGCTTACCCGAGCACCCCCCTCGAAAAACAGTGCAAATGAAATTTGATTTATCAAGTGACAAATTACGTCTTTGAGGGAAATCAAATTACGAAATTAGTCGAGTCGTCATTGATTTTCACAATGAAGAAACAGAAATGATCACAAAAAATATGCACATTTTATTACAATATTAATTACGTACCGCCAGAATTTACGAAATTAAAAACATTTGGGTCTGTTGGAACACAGTCGAAGTCAAAATTGTCATATTATCTCCACTGACGAAGGTGTTGGATCGTACGCAAACTCTCGATGAAAATCACTTTCCGCCATGATGCATTTGCAGATTTCACCTGCAGCGGCGTCCTTTGACCTAATGGGTCAAGTTGGTTATTAACCAATCACAATGCTGTGTTGTACTGACGCAATTCTTCGGAAATTCCCGAAGACTTTCCGGTAACGCAATGCGGAAGTGAATTATCGATGTCGAAGTACGATCTGTTGGAATTGACTTCAGCGAATAAACGACATAGTTT